GCAGTAGTAGATTAGAAATGAATTATACGAAAGTATGAAAATTGTTATTGGATGAGTAACTTTTATTCACGTAACGCGCAACTATTGTTTCGTATGGCTACTGAGTTGTCTCACCTAAATAGTTTCAGAAATTGATCATTATCGGAATCGAATGATTATTCAAATCGCTCTTCGAGAAATTGCTAAAATTACGCGAATGATTCTACAACGAATTATTATGAATCACATATCTGTGATTAACATTCTTCAAAACTCAATATACCTTTATATAAGTTCATTACATATATATGTACAAAGCAATGTTGAAATTTGAATGCAGCTATAAGATTCTTGTTTATATTGCTTGCGCATTGTTCCAGTTTCTATATTGGTTACACCCAACGCTGCTGAAAAAAAGAAGTAGCATGTAGCCTGCACTCGTTGGAATAAAACAGAAATGTTTACACACTGTCACGTTGGACGAAACAAAAAAGGGACGTATAACGCATAACACCTGCAACAACTAGCCCGACTACATAACGTCATCGTGCATACAACACGGTGCATCAGATAAGCAATACACATTTCGCTGTTACGTAATCTGACAATAAGATGCGCATTCTTTTAGCGATTCATGTGATCCAGTTCATTACATTTTAGATACCTACATACACGTATATTTTCGAAATTATTCTTCGGAACAATTTTAGCCACGTGAAAGTTACACTATAGCGAGCTATCACATTTTTTATTCAATTTAGAGCACAAATATCAAACTACTTATGTACAATTTGAAAATATTGTGCGAAAACGTTCATTATTTTCCTGTAACAATATTTATTAATATTCCAGCAAACAGTGTGCTACGTGCTATGAATATTGATGAGAGAAATTGCAGTTTTCTTAAAATACACACAATTAATTCCCGGTTTTGGTCGAAATTCGCGATAAAATCGATCCTGTTGTAATAACCTTTGTATCCTTCGGCAAACATTAGAGTCATCTCGTTGGAGGTCTTTTCTTTCGGGGGCCTATGAGAGGGACCGCTCCTTCGTCTCGGGCCGTTGTGCAACACGTGATCCACGAGCGAAAAGATCATTGTCCCGCTCGATCGTACGTGAACCTTACCGCGCAGCGTGTGCAAGTCGTGTACCCTAATTATGCGACCACGGAGCAAGACTACCGCCACGGTCTGCAGATTTTATAGTCTTCCTATCAATTTCATGCGGGAACGCACTCTCGACCTCGAGGAACAATTTGCATTATTCAAAAACATTTAGAATATAATCAATTTACATTAATTGATATATTGTTTAAGTTGTTTTATGTAAATACTCTTCGTCTCTGTATCTACAGAACAGCAAATTCTATTAATTATCTATTAACGAATAACATGTTTGCGCATTCGAACGAAATCAATTTAGTCTTTCTAATATTCAAATTATCTTAAAAACACGTACAAATTACGTCTTTAGCTGTTAGTTTTTGAAGTCCGATGATTAATGGACTTTCGACTATAGTTAAGACCCGTTCGCAATGAATCTATGATCACGATAATTCATTTAAACGAACGAGAGCAAAAGATATAACCGCGAACATGCAACGGTCATGGCCCGGGGCTGTGGGTCACGAGAGCCTGAGGGAACTAACTCTATGGACTAATTCGAGAATCTACGATCGTTAATAAACGCGAATAATCGAAGAGAACGTTCCACCGCTTCGGATCCTTGAATGAATTGCGCCACCTTGTCGCATTTCGCCCGATAAATTCATTTGAATGCTGTTGAATCAGTTTTGAGATTGCATTGGATTTTATAAAAATCATTGGTTGTAAACATTATTCAGTTTACAAAATGCAAAAGCAATTTAAATTTTGATCTAGGAGAAAACTTACATCGTATCAACACATGAATCGATTTTTATCGCAAAATATTTCTTGAAATTGGTTAAATTAAAGAAGGATCCTCGCTTACGAAGGAAAAAAGCCAGTACGTCGACCTCGTTTCGGAATCCCACGAATCCCCGAAGTTTACAGTTTTGAGTTTGTGTACCCGTTTCTCGAACGACGGTGTTTCGCCACCGGGTAAATCCCATCGTACGTCTACGGTATCTAGACACTTTGCAGAATTAATAATTCAAGATTAATGCGAGATAAGCGGGTCGCCGGTCGCTGCGGCCCACCGCAAAAGAAGACGAAGAAGAAGACGAAGAGGGCGTACACCGGGACACACGAAAAATTTTATCAAGGCGTACGACTCGCCGAATAAAAGAGCCCGGGCGTTCGTTTATTGCTTTTCTTGGAACGAACAGAGAGGAGTTCGTGGCATGGAACCATACGAAGGACAGGCGGTGGCTCGATGAAAAGTTGAAGCAACACTTTCCCCTTTGTAGATTCGCGCGTGCAAGTCCACCGGCTCCGTCTCGCGTGGTTAGGCGTGCCGCGTATTAATTAAAATCGCACGCACGAGATTTCTTTTCCATTCGTTTTTTTCTCATCCGTTAGAAAGCCGCTCCCCCGAGGATGCGCGCAACCGACTGAAATTAATTCCTGCGAACGCGCATCAACGACGTGGACGACAACGCAACATTTTTTAAACAGCGAGAAACCCCTTCATTTGGTAATTACTATTCTCCCACGAGAGCCGCTGTGGTTCGATCGAAAGAGATCAAGACCGCGGCGAGTAGCCTGCTCCCGATCCTGTAATTAATAAAATCAATTAGCCGATATCTCGCGTTTGATCGCCGCTTCGGGCACTGTTCTCGAAAATTTATGCCGAATGATGCGATATTAAAAAGTTATTTTTATCCTGTCTCCGTAAGGCAAATTAAAGTATTTTATAACGTAAGAATTAACCCCTTAAACACTTTGATAATCTTCATCTGAACTAGTGTGTGAATGAAATATTTGTATTATTTATGTGCAAGCTAATTATATATGTATAATATATCACATTTTATTGATGCTTAAGCATGAAATCAAAATACGATAAATGTAATTAAACTTTTGGAAGTTCGTATCTGGAGTTGCATCAAAACTTGAATTTATATGATAAACTTTGTCCTATATAGATCGTAGATATAATAATTTATAATAGAGACAACTTAAATTGAAATAGATCTGTTTAGCTAATACAAAAGTGGAAGATATAATGAGATACAATGACAGATATATCAAAATATCGCACGATGATTTTCAACATAGTATATGTCCTATGACATCCTTGACGAAAGAAACGACAGGCAGTAGAAGGAGAAGAAGAAAGTAGAGAAGAACAAGAACAAGAAGAAGGGAAAAACGTGTGCGATCCGAAGAAGATGAGTTGCGTAATCGCGGCAACTCGTTGGTGTACTCGCATGTGTACCGATCGCCCGGGGCGACCCGAGACCTTGCCGACGTGCATGAGAACTGGGCCGCGCCGGGGCCCACCGCTTGTCTCACCGATTCTGCTCGACTCAAATCGGTCCCGGCCACCAATCTAGACACCATTTACACTTCCCTCTCTTTCTCGCTCCTACTTCTCTTCTCTCCACCGTCTTAAACACATATCATATACGTTTCCTTTCGTTTCTTCTATCCTATGGTTTTCGCCGTTCTTCATTTCTAACCGAATTCTTACTTTACCCTCTTGCTTTAGTTTCTCCATTGATTATTCTCTTGTAATCAGTTTCCTTCATTTGTGTTATTTTCCTTTGATACATTCCCCGATCTCTTTCCGGCTTCCATTCAGTACTCCTCCAACTGGTTTCTGCTGTACGATACCAATACAAGTATTTTTCGGCGAGCTAACTGACGCCGACAAGTCTGCCAAGAATTCGTGAGCACTGACCCGCCTAATTCACGCTAATTACAATTTTAAAATCAAATAAAGTTAGTCAATAGAGTTAATTAGGTGAATATAAAGTGCAATGTTCGTTAATTTTTACGACTAGCAATTTCTGCAAAAAGTCTTTTTGCATATTTTCTAGTGAACTATATCTTCCAACATCTCGAAGAAATTTAAATTGTTTTATTTAATATAAAACAAGTTATTTCATTTTTTAAAGTGATCGATTGTTGATTTCACTGACTCTATCTATCTTACAATTGTTATTTTCTAAATAGATAAAGCTCACGTACATTTTGAAACGTGTAATTGGTTCCTCTACTTTTTGTACGTTTCCACATGTTTTGCGGCAATTAAAATTTTTCACCGGAGTCCACTCGCTTTCATAGCACGTATATCGACCGCCCCGACTATTCGAGAGGATTGTACCTTTCCGCTGCGAAATGGGACGCACAAATCAATCGCGTTACGTCAATCTTTCTCAAACTCGTTCATCATTTATGCCAGCTACAAAAGGATCACGCATACGTGCGCATTTGTTGCATCAAGTTTGCAACTCGAATTAAGGGCAACTTTTGCCATACAAGATGTATACGTATTGTGTATATTATATTCTCAAGAAACGCGTGTGCATGCGCGTGTATGCGTGTACGTTTCAAAGGCTCGAAAAATTGGGGTCCGTCTTATGAAACCAAACGAAACGAGGAGAAACGATCATTTCGAGTTAACGACAATTCCTCAGCTTCCAAAGAATGCTTCTTTTAAACGTCAAACGTGAATCTAACGTTGGGACTTCACATGCAATTCAGTCTATGAATTGTCAGATACTTTTGTTATTAAAACTAAAACTTAAGTGTTTATTGACTTTCTAAAAGTTTGAGAAATTCTAATAATTATGCAAGAGAGACAGTTTCAGTTGAACAGATAGTTTGATCATTCGTACCGTAAGTTTGAGATCTCTTTATCGGCGCGTACGCCTCGAGTCGGCCAGCAATTGCGAAACTTGAATTAGAATTAAGGCGTTTCATGCAATAGTCAGCCACGATTACGCGTGAGCTCACTGACAGATTTTAGAGCATTACGTGTTCCTGGAGTAAAGTGAATAAATTGTTTAAGAAATCTGAAAGCTGGCAAGAATCCTTTAGATTCTTTACGTGATGTTTGCTGTAAATTCACTTTGCACCGCTTTTGTTTTAGGTATTGGGTCCGGTTTCAGGATGCCACGTGAATCCGGCCGTATCCGCTGGTCTTCTAGTTAGCGGGAATTGTAGCTTCTTGAAAGCGCTGTGCTACATAGTTTGTCAATGTTGCGGTTCGATCGCTGCTTCAGCGGTTCTAAAGGTAAACCTAATAATTCTATTTAAAAGAAGCTATTGCCACATTGCACAACTTTTTTTTTATACAAAAGTTTGCAACATCTACATTTGGTTATCCGTTACTAAAAAAGTTACCGCTTAGTCATCGGCACTACGATTTAATCGAAACATTCGGGAAGGTCAAGGTTTTATCATCTGTTTACCGGCGTTGGTTACATCAGAAGTTAACGAGTTAACCAGTACGCGATGTTTAATTCATTCACGACAGTTGATTCATGCGCGCATTAGCTTCTGTGATTACCCTCTAGTTTAATGGATTGCAATAACAATCACCACGTAACCACCTTATAAGAACAATGCAACGAAGATAAACGATTATAATATCAACGCACGATTCATTAAGACAATTGACCGTGCAAATTATAATGGAAATACTGATACTGGTTCGAGGATAAGTTTTTTTTTAAATTAATCATTACAATTATTCTCAGGTATTGATTCCTGACGGGGGCGGTTTAGGCGTCACGAGTCTTGGTTCGTCGATCAACGAGAGCCAAGGAGTCTTCATGGAGGCGATCATCACGTTCCTCCTAGTTTTAGTCGTCCATGCAGTGACAGATCCGAAGAGGACCGATACGAAGGGGTGGGCACCCTTGGCGATCGGGTTGACCATCACCGTTTCCCACTTGGCCGCTGTGCCCGTAACAGGGAGCAGCATGAATCCTGCGAGAACGCTCGGCCCTGCGGTTATCCTCGGCTCCTGGAAAAATCTGTGGATCTACTGGGTCGGACCTCTCCTCGGAGGCTGCTGCGCTGGCGGCTTGTACAAAATTGCATTCAGGCGCAAGAAAGAAGACGATGAGGCATCTTACGACTTCTGAACATGAAGTACATAGTATGTAAATATCACTCGCAATGGAGCATGTTTCTCTTAAAAGGCAAGGGAAAGACGGAATTTGAGTGACTTAAATGAAAAATGAAGTTTAATTCGGTAGCAGTTTTTTAGTGGAAGTGTTTCCTTTCATTTCTCGTATTCGTATATTTATTGTATTCTTTAAGAATCTATTGGCTATACAGTCAATCCCAAAAGTTTATGTATCTTAGAAAAACGCATTTCCTATAATTAAAAAAAAATCAGACGTCGGAAGAACAATGCTAATAATAAATAGCTACGTGCTAAAAAGTATAGAAGGAAATTTTCAATTAATTGTTGACCATGGCGAAAAGCTTTTTATACGGAAATCGTAGGTACTGATATCCTCTACAAAGAAAGTTTCTATGCACTTTTCTTCTAATTTTGATATTTAATGAGACATATGATTATATGGCATTTTATTGATGTTGACAAAATCCGACCATCCCAGCGTCGAAATGGCGATCTATAATAACAAATTCAACATGCTAGCATTGTTTAAGTGTATGGCCTATACATCCTTAAAGGAATTTTACTTGGTTTGATACTAGAAATCAATTATCATGTATTTTTGCATTTTAAAATACGACTGAATACTTGACTTGGAAAGAGAAGAATGTTCCGTCTATTGCGTTGTACAGTTTTAGTATTCTTTGACGAGTATTTAATACGATTAGTCGTTCGATGAACTGTATTCTTGCATTCTTTGTACATTAATTTTTATGAACGAGACAGAATATGGTTGAAGATTCAAAGGGGAACGAGGAACGAAGTCAATTGAAATTTTGCAACAACGAATTAATTAAATGCAAGATTTAGTTTGCAACATCTGATCACGTTTGCTGTTATTTTTTTCCTATGCATTCTCCGCTCAGTGGTTAGTCTTAACAGCATCTGGTAGATCAAGTAGATTTTGTTACTGTTAATACTATACTAAATGCAATAAATTCGTTTAATATATTTATCGTATCTCTGATATAAGGAACGAACTAATACGACTCTTTTTCTATATATATTTAGCCAAGTACTTAATTTATAAGGAGTATTCTATAATAACATATCAAAATTACACACATTCAGCATCAAAACCATGTTTGGCATTTGACTAATTTTATTCAACAGCCTTTTTACACTTTTATTACAAAAAATGTGTCCATGTACATTCGATATTTTGTAATCTCGTTTAAGCTTTGTATATATTAAATTAACTTGTACGGTGCTACATATAAATATATCGTTTATATTTGCACATTACATTTGTAAGCAAACAAATAATTCTTTAACCTTTCCCCCCCTTAA